GATAAAAGGGTATCAATGTACTTTGAGCAGAAGAGATATCCAGTGTCCCACAGCAGCCGAAGCTGCTTCTGACTGCAAAAATGCTAGTAAACATTCTCCTTGTTCCAAGTCAAGCTTTAGAGTTCTATTTGGCATCAGTATGTCTCTATTTTCTAAGAGCATTGGGAGATCAAGACTTTGTTTGCACAAGCAGGACTAATTAGAACAATGAAGTAAATTCAGAAGCAAAGCCCTGAACCACTTGATAACTCCTTCACGAAACTTTTCTGATGCCTCAGATGAAGAAAGCAAAGCAACATAAGTCAATTTTTTCAGAACCACAACCATTTGTGACAATAAAGCATTAAATTTCATTCAGATTAAATGAAAATATTCAGATATAATATGATCATCCTAATACTTATGCAAACAGGAAAACTGATATAGAACCCATAAACAAAATGCTAGTATTAACTTTCTCACAGTAATTGGGGGGAGGATCACATCAACTTTCTCAAAGAAATAAGAAGAGAAAGAGAAAAAAAACTGAATTCTTACAATAAACCTCGCCATAGGAGACCATATTGATGACAGAAATCAAGGTTATTGAACTAAAAAAAAGGACAAATAAATTCCTAGCTGGGGACGACATAAGTGCTACTTATCTTCATTTTGAAATCATTCATTTTCTAAAGGATAAATCTAATAGCCCATTATATTAATAAACCTCAGTTTTATTATCATTTTTCCACTAGGTTTTTGTTTAAGAGAAGTATCATATGGGCTTGTATTACATTTTTAAATATTAAAATAAAAATAAAAAAAACACATAACTTTCATAAATAAAAATATAAATCACTTTACTTTATATGAAACAAACCTATTTGAACACTTGTTACATTTGCATTATATATATATTTTTCTTCACCATTCAAGGTGCTTGATGAATTGTCAAAGTACCATTTTACAATTCCTTTTGCCTATCACTTTCTACCCTATTTGAGAAGGTTCCCTAAGTCTGGGTTTTCTCATTTTTGATTTTGATTCATTTTGTTTATTTTCCCGAGTTTCATTCTTTTAAGCAACCATTTGATATAAAGACTGAATTTTACTTAACTTATAGTCTAGCTGCAAACGAGATGGTGCGGTGCCTATTACTTGGTTGATGTATGTTTATCGCTTTATTACAAAGGGGATAAAAAATGGCAAATAACAAAAGAATATCCTTTTAATAGCAGCTTAAACTCTATCCGGCATGATCTACGTTGCATTCCCCATATTCAAACTCAGGGTATTAGACGCATGTATATATTTCGAAAGGTAAAATAAACAAAATAAGAGAGAAATTTACTTAAATAGAGATGAAAAAGGGCAAATTGACCTGATCCACAGAACCCAAATGGCATTTCTTGAGAAGCACTTCCAAGCACGCCACCACTCTTTCTGCTACTTTATCACTTACTCTTTTATTATTACTAAATTCACTTTTACTCCGCAAACTTCTGCAATCAACTGCAACATCCAGCATAAGCAGCAATGGGAACAAAGTGTAGCTACAAAAAGAAAAAAAGGAACACAAAAATCAAATTCAGTGTCATTAAAGTAATTGATTTCGTATGTTTTAATTCCAGAATAAATACGTAAGTAGAAAAAATAATAATCAAAGGAAGTCTAAAAAGGAAAGGAAATAAGCAGAAGAAGAAGAATTGATTACTCTAAGAAGAGCTGGAGAGAATTAGACGGGGAAGAGCGAAGCAGGTGGAGCAATGCTGGAATAGAAGAGGCATGCTTTTTAGGGTTTTGGGAAAGTTCAAGAAGCTCCAAACAGTAGGGTTTTAGCTGTAATTTTTTTTTGCTTCTTTCATCATCTTCTTCTCCCAGCGACTCGGTGGAACCACCAGTAATTCTAACAAAACTTTCCGCCATATCCACTCTATTTCCGTAAAAAAATAACACAATTTAAAAGAAAAGGGGAAAGGAAATGAAAGACAAGAGGAGAGATGAAGAGAAAATGCTAGACAGAGGAAGAAGAAGCGCTAAATGGGTTAAAACAGCCTGGTGTGGGTGCCCAAAGAGCAGCAGGGAAGAGAACACCCAGGTTTGGTATGCCTATTTCGTTTAAGGGTAGAGTGGGCCTGGGTCGCGTTCCCATTTAAATTAAAAAATAGGGTAGAGTGGGTCTGGGTAATTTTTTTCTCCCAAAGAGACTTCATCTTCTTCCTCAAGCTCAAGATAGAAAAGGTAGAAATTTTTATGTCTTCTAGTACAATTACAAGGGAAGAATTATAGTCCTCTCATTTCAAGCCCTCCTTTGCAAGTTTTGGTTAAGGTGACCAAATATAGATTTAGTGGGGGTTTTACAAACCTAAGTGATTTCAACTTGTTTTTAAGAGATTCAAACTTCTAAAAATATTTTAAACTCATTTCTAAACTCTCTAGCAACGTTAGTAATCCATGTGCTTAATTCTTGTCTAGTGAGAGAAGTTGGAGAAAGCTCCAAAGCTAGGGGAAATGAGAAGTTCACTCTTGGTTGAACTTTGGGTGCTTCCAGCGGCTTTGGAAATCAAGGTAACCCATTTCTAAATAAACTCTACCACATGTAGGTTAGTATATGTGTTTTTGTAGGTTGCACGAGTTATTAAGCATGTTCATAGTAGAATTTAGAAACTAGTGTTTTCCAGTATGTTTATGGACTCTTAATGACCCCTATATTCATACATAACTCTTTAATAATGTTTGGGAACCTCAGTAGGATGTTTGGGAGTGTTGGGGAAGCATATATATGCTTAAAATAGGATATTTTTTTTGGCATGAGTATCGATACTGGAAGAACAGTATTAACATTATTTTTCAGGTGTTAAAACAAATAGGTTTTGGGAATAGATGTATTGATATTGATGCAATGGGTATCGATATTGTATATGAGGTATCATACTCGCAGGGTGGTATCGATACTGAGTTCACTTAGCATACATCAATAACTAAATTCATATCGATACTCATGAGAGTGTCAATACCAAGGGTATATTACAAATACTCCCAATAGGAGTATCAATACTTAGGCATTTTTCAAAACATCGAAGCCAAATTTGGTATCGCTAATCAAGAAGGTATTGATACCATAGACCAAAAGTATTGATACTCAAGAATGAGTATCGATATTGACCCTTTGTTATCAGCCTTTTATAAGTCAAAGTATCGATACCCAAAGGTTAGTATCAATTCCCACGAATAGTTTTGGGTAAGAAACCCAAGGGTTTTTAAGGGATATAATTAAAGGACCCGCTAGCTCCTGAATACCATGAAATAAAACTACAAGTGAGAACAGTAATAAGTTCAAAATAGTTAGAAACAACAGATAGGATGACATAAAACTAGCCTTGTTTGACGCTTAAGACACAATCAGGACACCCGAGTTACTCTAGCTGTTACGATTGTATAGTTGGATATCCTAGTCAGTGCCAAGACACTTCATTCGCCAACAGGGCACAGATGCCCCAAGACTCGATGGAGTAAGTTCGCAGGGTGTACATATTCGATGCAACTTCAGATCTCATCCAAATACCCAATGGAATTTTATAAAGGCTAAATGGGTGTGTAAGCTCTAAGACGCGGAACCCTCAGTCGTACCATGATGCATGTATAAGCATGTCAGATCAATATTTCCATGTCTTCATAACTATGCCTCTAGCATGTACATTTAGTTAATGTATGTAGTATAGTAGAGTTATTAGTGAGGCATCGAGCTTGTAAGCTCATCTTTCGAAATGTGTTTTTATGCATAGGTTTTTAGAAGATTAGACAAGGAGCATTATCGTCACCAGCAGTTCCAGCTCAACAGAAACTTCAGAGTACGCCTTGATTATTCTTAGATGGCATGTACTATTGTAGAACCTATTATTATTCAAATGTATCTCTGTTTTGTATTAAACTTAGTTTTTTGTTATTTTAAATAATAAGAGCTCCCCGATATTTTTAAACTGAATTATTATGTTTTATTTATTTTGGATGGATTTCTTTTACATTGTGTTTTACAATTGATTTAAAAAATAATTTTGGGTTAGCCTCTTCGGTGGTCTTGTGTGACATCATGATCTAGTGATCTTCAGGTCGGACTAGATTAAGGTGTTACAATTCTGCTTCATCAAACTTGACATCTCTTGAAATTATTATCTTCTTGGTAAGAGGATTATTGAGCATGTAGGCTTTTTTTCTTTCATCATAGCCGATGAAAATACATTTTTCTCCTATTTCATCAAGTTTTTTTTCTGGCCTGCTCAAGAATATGGGCATATGTAATGCACCCAAAAATTTTGGGGTGTCTGACTCCCAATTTTATGATTCATTTGGAGTCATATACTTCACACTTTTTATTGGACATCGGTGCAATAGGTAAACTTCACATCGAACAGCTTTGTCCCGAAATGGACCACTATTTATTCAACTTCATTTTGTTGAGGCGTGTATCTTACAGTCAGTTGATGGATGATGTCATTCTCTTTACGGAAGTCTTCAAATAAATATGATGTATACTCGCCTCCTCTATCATATCTGACTATCTTTAAATATTGACCACTTTGCTTTTCCGTCATAGTTTTAATTCTTTCAATTTCTTTAGTGCATATAATTTTTTCTTTCAAAATATGAACCCAACGTTTTCTACTAAAATCATCAATAAAGGTTAGGTAATACTTGTTTCCACTAAGTGATGATGTATATCAAAAGGATCAACTATGTGTTTGTATAATCTTCAACGGTCTTCAGGCTCGCTAGGATCTGTCAACTTCGAAGTTTTTATCTGTGTTGATTTCCTTTGATGCAAGCCTCACATAATTGATTTAGAGGGTTGATATATGGCATCATTTCACAATATTTGCCTTCAACAACAACTTTAGACTCGAAAATCCAATATGTTCATATCTTAAATACCATAATCATGAATCATCTTTAATTGTCGTCTTCATGCACCTTACTTCAACTAACTCTGTAATCACCATTATTTCTAAACCCACCAACAGTTGCTAGAACCTCAACCTAGCTGGTTCTTCACTCCACACAATAGCTGCCAATACCCCAGCTCCACTCGTAGACCCCCTTGTTCCACGTCCCAGTAACACCAGCTGTCCATTCCACATCCCAGTTCAAGCTCACCATCAAACAAACAACAATCATCATTTTTTAAGCATGTAAATGGGTTAATATATAACCCATAAAAATCTCATTGTAAAAATAGAGCAGAAAAGGAAAGATGATTGGAAATTAAAAAAACAACAAATTTTATATTCTATTCGTTTGTTTTCATTTATTTTTTAGCTTTGTATTTTATTTTTTTCGAAATCACTTAGCAAATATAAGAGTAAAAGTTAGGATTTTTACCATGGGGTTTCAGGTACCAAGTTGCCGGCGAAGCGCAAGTCAAAGCGTAGGGGAAATGCTTGAGCTTTTTAGGTCTCAGTTTTAGTATTTTAGTCCCAAATCGGGACTTAGAGTTTCTTGAGGGAGGTTTTTTAAGGTTTGGGTTTTGTTTTGGGAGGTCGACGACGTTTGTGGAGTGACCTGCCATCGGCGTGGCGGCCGACCTAGGCGTTGAATGGCTCTTGGTCGAGCCAAGGGGGAGAGCTTTGTTTTTTCTCGGTGGAGAGAACAAATAAGATTATTTAAGAGGCTAGGGTTACTTTTTTTAGATAAATAGGGAGAAAAAAAACACACACACACACACACATATATATAGCTTAGGTTTTGGGTAAATCATCCTTAAGTCCTTAAAGGTTACCCATATTTTTACTTTTTAACTACTAGTTTTAGGGTTAAATCGCGTTTAAAACCCCTAGCCTAGCCTTGTTTTATATTATTATCATTAGTTGCATCATTTTGTTTATTTTTATTTTGACCTCTATGTTTTACTTTGTTTTAATTTAGTCATCATACTGCCATTTTTTATTTTGAAATCAATCACTGTTTTTTACATTTATTCATTTCCATTCACTGCTTTGGTTCTGGTTTTTATTTTGTAATGATTTGATATGATATTTGAATTTATTATGTTTTATTAACTTATACATGGCATTTTTATTTTTATTTTGATGCACTATTATGATTATTTACAACATTTCCCTCAATTTATTAAGATTTCCCCCTTATTTTCTATGTAAATTTATTTGTACATATAGATCTAGACATTTAGAATATATATGAAAGCCTCATAAGCAATACTCGACCAATTTCATAATTGGATTAAATTCATTATTTATTTATTTTAAAAATATTAAGAAAGGTGTAACACCCCCAACTGGTATCCAACCCGGATACGAGTTCGAGGTGTCATATTGACTTTTCAAAATGTTTACTTTTACAAATCTCATAAAAATATTAAAACTTTTATTTAAACAACAGTGTAATAATTTACATAAACACCATCAAAATGATTACAAAATCGATCAGAGCATATATGATTTAAACTGTAATTACATGTTAACATAATTATTACAACAAAATGACATGTTGTTTTAAATCACTTCTGATCTGATCGCTTCAAAGGAGATTATGCCTTCCTAAACATTAACTCTAGTCTTCTTGTTTCTTGGTACCTACGTGTAAACCACTTACACGCTAAGTCCCAGACTTAGTGAGGAATAATAGAACATGTAATAATGAATTCATGAAACATGCACTACTATTATTCCATCTTGACATTACAATTTGCATGCATCTAATAAACTATAACATATATGATCATAAAATGCACAAATGAAACCTAGCTTCTTATGAGAGTTTCAATTCAATTTATCTTTGGATGCCCATGTACATTATTGAGAACAAGAGGTACGTGAGTACATTGAGGTTGTGCACAATGTTGTCACCACAACTCAAATAAATTCCCACTAGGGGTACTAAAAATTTGTCCCGAATGGATCACTATGTCCTAAAGGACCACTATATCCCGAAGGACCACTATGAACCCTCGACTCTTGGCATGCCAATTATACCTACAGCTCTCATATCATATAAAATGGGCTTAAATATGAATACATTTCACAATTTTCATATCTTTTATATCATCTTTCACATAAATACATCACATGTTTCACATATACATATAGAATCACTTACCTTAGAATGCATAACTTGGATTTGTTCTCTTATGATTGCATACATTATATATTACATAATATGTAAGCATGTTTGAGTTATGCACGTAGTCATTATAATTATAACATATGCATGTAAATGAATATTAAATCATGAAAGTAAATATAGAAGTTAGACTCATCACAAGTCTGGTTTCCTTAAAACAATATCTATATTATCTATGGTATGCACTTACCTTAGTCTTGCTTAATCCCAAATCCACTTCTATAATTCTATCTCTTTGGATCAATCCTGACTCTCTGGTCATTCCGAAACTTGTTTGTGCTCAATATCTACACGAATATAATCCAAAGAATATCAGAATTTGAAATACTAGAAAAGGATTCATACTAATTTAAACTAAATAACATACTAATATCAACTTCCCCAACTTAAGTTGTATCGAAACTACAAGCACAATACCGATACTTCTATTCTATGGTACTGATACCCCCTCGGTATCGATACCAAAATTAGATTCTATGGTACTGATAGCTCCACATTGGTATCGATACTCCCATAGTATCGGTACTACACTTCAATACCGATACCTCATGAATGCCTTTATCAAATTCGAACATATGGCATTGATATTGTTCAAACAGTATCGATACCCCTATACCAAATGTCCCTATTTTACTCTTGAAGTATCAGTACTGGATGAAGCAGTACCGATACTCAAGCCCATATTTTTACATTTTAAACCCAAAAATTTACTCATTTCATCTCAAACACTTCATGTCTTAATCCCTTTCCTATTCTTAACTCAAGTACACATACTTAAATCCATTTGTACTCATCTAATACATCTTTACCTTCAAAATTATATCCTCTATATGGAAATCAATAATCATACCAAATTTTCAACATATTCTAATTTCAATTCTATCAATTCATATCTCTTAATTCAACTATTAACAAGTCAAATTTAGTTTCAAATTCCACTTATCAACTCTTTTCCAAGATTTCACTTCCTAACTCTCTTATCTTTTATTTTTAAGATAACTTAAGCTTTCCTTAAGCTTAAGTATCATCTAAAGAACATAAACCGAACTTAATTTCAATGAATAATCACTTAACAAGAAACTCACCTTTTCCAATTAGCTATCGCGCCTGAAGAAGAAGAAGAGTTCTCTAGAAACTTTGCTATTTGCCTCCCTTCAATTCCACGTGGGTTAAATATAACCACTACCCAATTTATTTATTTTCTTTACCAAATGACCACTTTGTCCTTCTATACCCTTTCTTTGCAATTCAATCCTACACAAAAGTTTCTATATAAGTTGTTTAACTTTTTAATTTATCTACTTTAGTCACTAAATTATGAAGTTTTACAATTTGGTCAGTAACTCGGTGCTAAGGATGTTACAAAAGGACCATCTATACCTTGTGATTCTTCCACAATACTTTGATTCCTCATACCCTCTTCACGTTGCCTCCTATACCTTGTGATTCATCCACAATACTTTGACCAATGGAATAGTCTTGTTTCTTAGTTGCTTTACCTCGTGAGCTAAAATTTGGACTGGTTCTTCCTCATAAGTCAGGTTAGGCTGAACATCAATCTCTTCTACTGTCACAATATGGGATGGATCAGATCTATATCTCCAAAGCATTGAAACATTAAAGACATCATGTATTTTCTCCATTTTAGGTGGCAAAGCTAATTGATATGCCACTGGTCCCACTCTCTTAACGATCTCATAGAGTCCAATGAACTTGGGACTAAGCTTCCCTTTTCGTCCAAACCTCATGACCTTCTTCCAAGGAGATACTTTTAAAAACACTTTATCTCCAACTTGAAACTCTATATCTCTCATCTTCATATTCGCATATGATTTATGTCTATCAGTTGTTGCTTTCATATTGTTCTGAATCACTTGAACGTTTTCTTGCACTTCCTGAATCAACTCAGGACCAATAACTTCTCGATCCCTAAGCTCATACCAATTCAAGGGCGTACGACACTTTTTCCCATATAGAGCTTCATATGGAGCCATTTTGATACTTGAATGGTAACTATTGTTGTAAGTGAATTTAGCAAGTGGTAAGTATATTTCCCAATACCCTTTTAACTCTATTACACATGCTCTTAACATATCTTCCAGAATTTGAATAGTCTGCTCAGATTGTCCATCGATTTGAGGATAAAATGTTGTGCTAAAGTTCAATCGAGTTCCTAATGCTCTATGCAAAGTCTTCCAAAACCTTGATGTGAATCTAGGATCTCGATCAGAAACAATCGAAATAGGTACACCATGTAATCGTATAATCTCTCTGATATACAATTCAACATATTTATCCATGGAAAAATCAGCTCATACCGGAATGAAATGGGCTGACTTAGTTAATTTATCCATAATCACCCAGATTGAATTTCTTTTGTTTGGAGTCAAAGGCAACCCCGTCAAAAAATCCATCGTCACATTATCCTATTTCCATTGAGGAATATACATTAGTTGTAACAATCCTGATAGAACCTAATGCTCAACTTTGATTTGTTGGCAAGTCAAACACTTGGATACAAATTTCAAAAAATTCTTCTTCATTCCAGTCTACCAATATCGACTCTTGAGGTCTATATTAGTTTTGTTTCCTCTAGGGTGCATAGTCACCATTCAAGTAGTGATGCCAAATCTTAAAAGCGAACAGTACTGCATCCATCTCCAGATCGTGATTTGGGTAATTCTTCTCATGTGATTTTAATTGTCTCGAAGCATAAGCCACCACCTTGCCTTCTTGCATCAACACACATCCCAAACCATTATGGGACGTATCGCTATAAACAACGAAATTCTTGCCAGACTCAGGTTGAACTAATACTGGAGCTTCTGTCAAAATCTTCTTTAACATTTCAAAACTTTCTTGGCATTCTAGAGTCCAAGAAAATTTTACATCTTTCCTCATCAACCTAGTTAAGTGTAAAGCTATCATCGAAAGGTTTTTAACGAATCTTCGATAATGACCGGCTAACCACAGAAAACTTCAAACTTCTGACACATTCTCTGCAACTTCCCACTCTAGAATAACTTTAATATTTTAGGGATCCACTCAAATTCCTTCTGCAGAATTTACATGTCCAAGGAATGTCACTTCATTCAACCAAAATTCACATTTAGATAGTTTGACATATAACTTCTTATCACATAAAATCTATAAAACTACCTTCAGATGTATACTATGCTCTTCTTCCAACTTCGAATACACCAATATATCATCAATGAATATCACTATGAATTGGTCCAAATAGGATTGAAATATTATGTTCATCAGGTCCATGAAAGTAGTCGGTGCATTTGTAACTCCAAACGGCATCACAATAAACTCATAGTGACCATATCTCGTTTTAAATGCCGTCTTTAGAATATATTTCTCTTGAATCTTAAATTGATGATATCTCGACCGCAAATCAATCTTGGAGAACACTAAAGCTCCCTTCAACTGATCAAAAAAATCATCAATTCTGGGGAGGGGATACTTATTTTTTATAGTCACTTTATTGAGCTGCCTATAATCAATGCAAAGACGCATTGGACAATCCTTCTTCTTGACAAACAAAACCGGAGCTCCCCAAGGTGATACACTTGGTCTAATAAACCCTTTGTCCAATAGTTCATGTAATTGAATTTTTAATTCCTGTAACTTTTTTGGAGCCATTCTGTATGGTACCATTGCAATGGACAATGTTCCCGATATTATCTCAATATAAAATTCCACCTCTCTATCCAGAGGTAAACCTGGCAACTCTGCAGGAAAGACATTTGGAAACTCTCTGACTATTAGAATTTCTTCAATCCCTTTTTCCTTGGTTCTAATATCCAACACATTAGCAATAAAACCCTGACATTCTTGTAGCAGTAATTTATTTTTTGACATCACGTATATTACATTTGCCAATGGATTCCATCTTTCACTAATACTACAACTTTCAAACCTTCTGAACTAATCAATGTTACCCTCTTTAGTCTACAATCAACATTAACACGATAACGATATAACCAATCCATTCCCAGTATAACTTCGAATTCGTCAAAGGATAATTCCATTAGATTAACAGGGAATTCAATTCCATTAACCTGTATGGGACACCCCCTACATACCCTATTTACTCGAGCACTATGACCTAATGGATTCGTCACTATCACATCACTACTAGTAGCTTCTAATTGAATTTCAATTCCATTACCAATTTATTACTAATGTAAGAATATATAGAAACCGAATCAATCAATACTAAAACACTCTTATCATACAATTGAAAAATACTTGTTATAATCTCTGGGGCATCTCGATCTTCATTAGTCTTAAGATTATAGACTCGAGCAGTGGAGCGTAATTCCTGTTGAGTAGAGGAATTTGGCTAACTTTTTCCTCTACCCCTTCCCCTCTGAGTCATAGAAGCAGACCTCTCCGGCTGTACAGACACCCCGGCTATCATTGGACAGTCCTGAATAAAATGCCCGATGTCCCCACATTTAAAGCAAGCTCCATAAATCATTCTATAAATTCCCGGATGATTCCTTCCACAATGTGGACACTGTCTGACTTGGCCCTAGTTAGATCTCCTAGTTCCATATCCCACAGACTGAGTTTGTCTAGCTCTCATCAGATTTGATCTTCTAGCAGATGATGCAACTGACTCCGATCTTGCCTAGGGTCGAGAACCAGCATCTCTGCCCCTTTCTGATGGTGCAGAACTCAAAGAAGCACCTATTATTTTAGACGTCTAGGATCTTTGGTCTCTAAATCTTTCATTTTGAGCTCTTTTCAATGCTTTGGCATAGTTAACTACTTCTTGGAATGAGGACAGATTCAACACAATCAACATATCTTTCAATCGAGGATGCAAACCCTCCATGAACCATTCACAAGCATCATTCTCTGTCGGAATAAGTTCGATAGCAAATCGGTTTAACTTATTAAATTAAACTCATATTCATACACTGTGCGATTCAATTGCTTTAGATTCATAAACTCTTGCTTCAGATTCATAAACTCTTGCTTCATCTTTCGGATGAATTGATCTCCTATATACTTATTCTTGAATTCTTCTAAAAACAAGGATCAAGTTACCTGATCACTAGTCATCCTCAATGTAACATTGGTCCACCAAATTCTCACTTGCCCACTAAGCAATGAGATCACTTCATCCAGTTTCTCTGAATCAGAACAATGAAGTCCCTCAAGCATGATTTTCACATCATTTAGCCAAAGGTACGCAACAACAGGACTTTCTTCGGCTTCACCTATAAATTCTAGAGCTTCTAATCTCTTCAACTCATTCGTAACATTCATTCTCTAACTTGAAGAGGAAGAAGGTTGAAAACGCACCAAGATAGCGTCCAACGTCCTGAAGAAAATATGTTGATCTCCTACAAGCACTTCAGAAGGTGCATGTTCTTCCTTGCCTGGCCAGGGTAAGTGAATTATTACTCTCAGTGAGTCTATCCTCTCCCTCTTCACTTCGAGAACTATCATGTCTGGACATCTAATAAGACACCACCATATCATTCTATTAACAAGACAACATACTCATTATTTCATCAGATCATAAGTTCTTAATATTTTATTGGCATGCATACATTTAAATACATTATAATCTTCAATTTATGCCTAGACTGACTAAACCTTAGCTCTGATACCATTAAACGTAATATCCCTAACCCGTACCTGACCCGGATACGAGTCCAAGGTGTCATATTGACTTTTCAAAATGTTTACTTTTATAAATCTCATAAAAAATTTAAAACTTTTATTGAAACAACAGTGTAATAATTTACATAAATACCATCAAAATGATTACAAAATCGATCAGAGCATATATGATTTAAACTGTAATTACATGCCAACATAATTATTAAAACAAAATGACATACTATTTTAAATCACTTCTGATCTGATCGCTTCAAAGAAGATGCTGCCTTCCTAAACTTTAACTCTGGTCTTCCTGTTTCTTGGTACCTACGTGTAAACCAATTACACGCTAAGTCACAGACTTAGTGAGGCCTAATAGAACATGTAACAATTAATTCATGAAACATGCACTACTATTATTCCATCATGACAATACAATTTGCATATATCTACTAAACTATAACATATATGATCATAACATGCACAAATGAAACCTATCTTCTTATGAGAGTTTTAATTCAATTTATCTTTGGATGCCCATGTACATTATTGAGAATAGGAGGTACGTGAGTACACTGAGGTCGTGGACATATGCTGTCACCACAGCTCGAATAAATTCCCACTAGAGGCACTTAAAATTTATCTTGATGGACCACTTTGTCCCGAAATGGACCACTATGTCCCGAATGACCACTATATCTCGAAGGACCACTATGAACCCTTGACTCTTAGAATGCCAATTATACCTACAACTCTCATATCATATAACATGGGCTTAAATATGAATACATTTCACAATTTTCATATCTTTTCTATCATCTTTCACATAAATACATCACATATTTCACATATACATATAGAATCACTTACCTTATAATGCATAACTTGTATTTGTTCTCTTATGATTGCATACATTATATATTACATAATATGGAAACATGTATGAGTTATGCACGTACTCATTATAATTATAATATATGCATGTACATGAATATTAAATCAGGAAAGCAAATATAGAAGTTAGACTCATCACAAGTCTGGTTTCCTTAAAACAATATATATACTAACTACGGTATGCACTCACCTTAGTCTTGCTTAATCCCAAATCCACTTCTATAAT